TTTTCGCAAGTATCTTAAAATATAAAATCTGTAAAAGTCTTAAAAAAACAAAAATAAGACATTTGAATGTATTTTCTACCTACTTATTCATACCTAAGCCAAGTTTGCGCGCAGATTTTCTCTATTTTCAAAAATTTCAGTTTTACAATTTTACATATTTTAATGGCATTATAGCACATGCACTTTTAAGGTGAATATTTTATTGCAGTGGTGTAATTATACCGTTACAGACCCGTAGCAAATTCATCGGATGGGGCCCTCTCCCGCTCAATTATATTAAAAAGCTCACTTGTAGCTAGCTCACTTATTAAAAAGTCACTTGTCAACGTTAAAGTTTTTTTTTGTTATAATAAATCACTACGTAAAGTACGTTCATAAATCACTATTATAATTAGGCCATTTCTTGTAAGTGTAATTTAAAGAGCGTACTGGATTGAATTACATTTAATTAACCTATATATTTAAAAATGGCTGTCTTCATGTCATTGCCAGGTGCAATATTTTATTCACCTTAAATTGTTTCTAACACAAATAATTTGTAACAATTTGTGATTATTAAAAGAACAATGTAGTTTTAGTAGTTATAATTGTCAAAATATTGATTGGGTGATTTGAAAATGCTCGACGAGACTCATTTACCTTATTTTAAATAAGTAATAATTACAATCGCTAATTTTAACCTTTGCTACCGACAATCATCCTCACAAGTCAACTGCTGAAGCTAGGTCTCCCCCGAGGAATGCCACAAAGCATGGTCCTGAGCCACCTGCATTCATCCACATCCTGCATCTCTTACAAGGTCTTCACTTCATCTTTAGGGGGGGGGGGGGGGGGGACACCACACTTCACACAGTGAAGGACCACGTCTCAGATCTATAATAGGTCATCACTGGCAACACGCACTGGTTATACAATCTTGTTTTCAGGTTTTGAGGTATGCCTGACGAGTAGAAGTGTAGTAATCTCCCGAACGCTGCCCAGCCGAGTTGAATCCGTCGATTGACCTCTTGGTATGACCTAATTTTCTCATTAAATGAAGTCAAAATCAAAAGCAAAACGATTGAGGTCATTAAATAATATATGAAACTAATTTCTATTTTAGTATTTTTATATTTATAAAGAAAGTACTTAGTTACTTCACATTCAAATATCTATTTGCACAGGAAAATAATAAGGTTCTAACTATAAAGAAAGTTATATAATATATTATAATATCCAAAAGTCTGCAACGACTTTTTAAAACAGTTAATATTAATTTATTCCCTATCCCATGAATCATAGGTATATGAACATTATTTCCATTGTTTAACTATTGTATCTGTTTCGCGGACAGGGAAACTGTTAAGATCATATTAAGTTACAATAGCCTGCTTAGTGCTTAGAAAATTATATCTCCTGTATAATTATATATCATCCCTAAAGTAGATAAAATGTTAGCGCAAATTGCATCACGTTGCGTAAATATGACGTCAGCAGTCACCTACAACCGAAATTCTTCAAGTGAAAGTGGCCGTCTTTCGCCTCTTTTGGAGGGGGAAACGACCTCGCTCAAGGAAAGGGGATTGGAGAGGGGAGTGTTGCAGATAGTTGTGTAAGATATCACTTGTCAATGCAATTTCAATCTTGATTTGGATATCAAAGACCGAAGGGCAGATACGCACTGTGTCGAACTGCACTTATTTAATAGTACCTATTCTAGTATACGAGCAGGACCATAAAATTTATGGCCTATTTCGATTTTCTTTATACACTCAATATAATATAAATAAATTCTTTTATAATTATTGCCCTATTATTGTTGGTACCCTGGTACAAAATAAACTGACAAAAGTAACTCACTAAGCTTGTACTTTTTTTGTTAAGAATAAAGAGACTAAAACGGAAATTTCCCCTTACTCGATCAGACATAAATCTTTAAAATGAAGAGGTTTTGTTATTTCTTTTATTATACCTTAAGAAATTATATAAAAGATATTTAAAAGTATTCTATTAAAAATGTTATCAAACATTAAGCTGTGGAATTTTACGGGCTAATAACATAGAAGCTACTCGTATAGCTATAGTAACAGACTAATAGACGGTCGAATCGTCACGCTAGCTATAATAGTTTTTAATTTACCAAATAGATTGGTATTGTTACACGGCTGATCTGTCAATAGAGGAACTTATTGGGAAACGTATAATCCAGTTGACGGCTCCGTGGCGCAGTTGCTTAGCAATGAGTTGCTGCGCTGAGGGTCCCGGGTTTGAATCCCATATGGAACAAGTATTCGTATGGCCTACAAATAATTGTTCAAGGTCTGGATATTCGTCCTTGTGAAATTTATGTATGTAAGTTGTTTCCACCATACAGGGGAAAGTCTTATATGGGGGTACCCACAATAGGACTTTTTCTGTTCTGAAGCTTTGATGTCACAGCCGGTCAGACAAATGAATTCCGAGAGATTTACTACCCACTTGAATACAGTATCTACTAAGTATCGATTTAACTAGTTCTTATGCCTCCTTTTCTGTCCAGCACGGCTAGCATGGACTGGGAACAAAAAATTTATCCACCGATTATTTCGACTGACAAGAGACAAAATTATCTTGTCCTTATGCCAATGCACGGCAACGGGGAGAAGTATTTCCCCGTTTGACATAACGAGTAGACATATATCCCCCGTCCGTAGCAAGGAGCCAAATGAAAGATAAAAAATTTTGCTTTTTTGATATTTGAAAGGGACAATTTTATCGTAGTTCATTAGACGTGGGTTTAATATAAATTACATCCAAAAAATCTATCTAAGTCTAAGTCTATCTCCCATTTTATCTACTGTGGATATTATATCCACCGGTGTGCCCATGTTCGAAGAGTGGATAAAACTAAGCAAGGGGATAAACATTTTCTCCTTTCCCCGGGGATAAAATTGTCTCCTGCCCATGCTAGCCCAGCTGGAGTGCATCCGGTTAGATACTACCCTCTTGCCTGTTTGCCGCCAAACAGAAGTACGTACACCGCTGTTCTAGTATGATGGATATAGAGAATCTGTATAATTGCAGGCTGAGAGATATTCCATCTTAGTTCTCAGAGGTGATAATGCATCTGTAACCTTCTTTATTTGAAGTTGGTTGCTGGTGTCCATGGGCTGTAGTGGCCACTTACCATCACGTGGGCTATAAGTTGGTTCAGTTCATCTTAGTCCTCAGGCACACCTCAGGAATGCCTCTTTTTAGTAAAAAAGGTCTCCGGTTCTCTACACTCACCATACGAAACACAACAGCATGAAGCTGCTATTTTACGCTGGTATTCTGTGAGAGCGTGGTCCTACCCCGGTCGAGCCGACCCATTCGTGCTACAACCATGATATAGCTGAGGCGTGGCTCTACAACGTAATATTCGGAATGTACGTTAAAGCAGCTTTGATAAGAATAAAGATGTCCATACTTTAAACACTAGGAACAAACATAAGCTTGTAATACCAGTTACTAGACTCCACAGAATTACTAATTAATTTATGGGACAATGTATACGCTTTTACAACAAAATCCCAGAAAATATAAAAAATACAAGAAATTGTACAAAAAGGGTTAATATAATATATAAGAATGCATAAATAAAAATAACTCCTGGGAATGAGGTGATCGCCTGGTTCTATTAAAATTAGTCACTTAAGTTTTATGAGGAAAAAAACTGTTAGGTTAAACATTGTGGTTATATTTTAGATGCAGGAAGTATTACTCCATTTTGATTCGTAAGAATTCGTTATAGATGTAGGTGTCTATGGGCCCACAGCATCTACTTACCATCAGGTCAACTCTGTGCTCGTTTGTCACACTTATTCTATAAAAACCAGCGACAAATGTAAAAAAATGACTTTTAATAAGTATTATTTACAAATCTATATTGAATAAAAATGATAATATTCTATTCTAATTACGCCATAAGTTATATACTTACTTGTATAAAGAGGAGGGAGCGGTAATAAAATGAAAGATATTATTAAAATGGCCATTTAATTTCATTATGATGATACATTCATTCACAAAATCTACATTAGTTTGGTCCAATAACTTATTGTTATATTAAACGCTAACTGCGCCTTGGCTTAAATAAGAACTTAATTCTATTATCCGAAATGACCCAACACCGTACACTACTTATCTTACAATTTCTCATATGAGTAGATGAGATGAATTACTCGCTTAGCAAATTTTGTCCCGAATAAATTCGAATTTTTATGTCTATTTGGTACAAAATTTTCGATGCCCGATTTGAGAAATTTATCCGAGTGTAAAATTAAAATAAAACAAAATTACGCCTACATTGCAAGTGTCCCATTTTGAGCGATAACTCTCAAAAATACTCAACAAAGTAAAACTTAAATCACAGGTTATGTATATATTTTACACGTCTTCAAATTCACATGTTATCTTATGATTAAAGATATATTAAGAAATTATTTATATAACATAAAATTCCTCTTACACATCGTAAAGTCAATACTAAACAAGAGAGTTAACTTTTAAATCATTCAAAAAATATTTATCTTAATATATTTACACTACACTTACCTAAATGTTCATAGAACGTACTAGAAATATATCATAGATATATGGGATAAACATTACCAGCTTTCGATTGACAACAATTAATATTTTGATATTCACAGTCGATTAAGCAACCGACAGTTGCCATCTATTCGCTGGTAAAAAAGAACTTAAACACTAATGCAATCAGGGAATTATCCCCATCCAATAGAATTCTAGAGAAAATTACCTTTCTCGAATTATATGGAGGGGCAACAATCGGCTCCTTTCATAAGTCCCTAGGCGTACTCGCCCTTACAGGAACCTTTCGAGGCAGTCGACAAACTCTGAAACTGCATTACGTTTTACGTTAACTTCGCAAAACGCAACCAGCTTTCGCATTGTCCGCATTACCGCGGCTCTCACACGCCCTTATTTACAATAAATATTTACATTATAACTTAATTCTAAATTACAACACTAACGGAGTATTAAAGGCAGTACGGATGACAGAATTGATAAACCAGTCTTTGGCTCCTCTCAGTTTTCTTCATAATGCCTTTCTTGTAATACTGCCGTATGCTTCTTGACAGTTTATCGTAGTTCATCGCAGGCCTGTTCTTTCGCTTGCCCCACAGTCTAGCGACACGCACTGAATCTTCAATTTTAAAGACACCGTTACCTGAAGAACGAGACATACATTAAACATTGTTTGATAGAACTCGAATGCAAATCGAGATATATTTTTGAATTTGTCGTTTAATTGTGAAAACTTTTATACACTCAGAAGAAATAAACGGAAAGCCGCTTTTTAAGTTGTAAATAACAAAAAAAGTATTTTTTGTACTATATAGTTTTTGCGCAGAAAAATATTATTACGGCATTTGACTTTAACACCTTTGAGATACGAAATTGGAAATATAAAAATAAATGACCTTCGCGCTTAAATCAAAATTCATTACGGTTGCTCGGTTCTTAACGCGATCGTCTAAACATCGGTATAGATTTTCCAAGAATTCGTTTCAGAACTTTTAGCGGAACAAATTCGAGTTCAAATTGTCAGACAATTTAAATATAAGAACGTGATCGGCAGAGAAGAAAAAAAAACGTTTGATGTTAAATGGTAATGCAATAAAGTAACCTATAAATCGTAACAATGTAGTGCCATTAATACAGGCTAGTCACGAAGCAGAGAAGTAACCTTTGCTGTTACTAAACCACACAACACTATTAACTACCTAACAGATGGCAAGTAAATGGCTCGTTCACCTTGATTTGAGAATGTCGTTATGAATTTCCCACTAACAATCGACTGTTTATTAATTTAGTCTTTTCATTATCTATCCCTTATTACATATATTCATTTGTTTCACTGTGTACTGGTTTTATTGTATATACCTATAATAAAATTTAAATAATGCGTTGGCGCGAATTATTTAGGATTACGGGTGAAAAACTTTAGCTTTACTAGATGGAAGGACTTCCTTTCTACCTAGGACTCGGTCTAGCTATGAGTCCGTCTCTTAAGTATTTCTGCCACCAAATAGCAACGCCATCATTTCTGTGTTCCGGTGTAAAGGGTATAGAGTACTTACTGGCACTCTATACCCTAACCTATTAAAAGGCCGTGAGGCATTTCATCTTGGTTCTCAGAAGTGATAACGCATTTGTAATTTTCGTTGTTCGAAGTTGATGTTGTGCATGGACTTCAGTAGCTGGACTTTATGTTCACTAGTCACCTCAGTTTTATAAAAAAAAAGTTACTTAAAAATCATTTTCTCATAGGTTTATATACCGAGCCGTGACGCTCAGATGGTTAGCACTCGCTGTAAATTTCCCGGGTTCGTACTTCGCCGGCACCAATGATATTGTTATTTGCGTTTTTAAATGTTGATTTGCCACTTGTTGGGCGGTGAAGGAAAACATCGTGAGGAAACCTGCATGTCTGAGAAATAAGAAAAATATATTTTGAAGGCATGTCAAGTTCGCCAACACGCATTGGGACAGCGCGGCGGACATTTCCTTGCCCTAGAACCCTAGAAATTAGGGGAGGCCTGTGCCCAGCAGTGGAACGTATATAGGCTGTAACTTAACTTTTAACTTTAACATAGGTTTATATAAATAAACCTATGGGTATTCTATAACTTTTCTTTCTCTATTTATATTATAATTATATAAAATGTGGTCACGTTTTGTTATAATCTAAAAAAAGTATTTGGTTTGACTTTTTGGTGATCGATTTAGCTATGTTAAAAATCCTTTATTATTTAAACAGATATTTTAATTTTATATCTATTCCCAATTGTAACAATAAGATATGCTACTTATTTAATTTTACAATTAAATTAAAATTTTACACAAATAACCTTATTTTTTTTAATTATTTTACACTACGAGTAGAATAATCTTCAGTAACGTTTGTCTTCTTGCACATGAAAGAACGTGGACAAACCGGAAAAACTATATGCAGGCTTTAATAGTCGTTTCGAACAGGGTTCTAACCCGCGCCCACAGTGCGGCAGCCAACCATGTATCACTATCCCGTCGAATATCACACTGAATGCCTAATTCAGCACTCAAATACAATTCGGTAACGAATTATGGCGTACGTAATATTTTATTTATTTGTTCCATAGATAAAATTACAATTAACAATTTCGTTGGAGCCGGCGTATTATTATAATAAAAAATAAACAGTTACATAGTGCTTCCCATCGGCGAACGATTCCCACCAGAGTTGCACAATCGTGCCATCCACTTAAGTTTTAATAAATTTTCTCAACTATGCTATGCAATGAAATACAATCTTATAATTAAGATATTTTTAAGTTATAGATCGTGGTTTAGAGATGAAGCATAAAAGAATCCACTGTTCCATATCATTCCGTGGAAGTCGTAACTGCGACAGAGATAAATTTTACAGAAGATGGGCAGCAGCTTATTCTTCTTCGTATCAAAAAATAATAAAAATCAAAAATTTATTTTATTATTTTGCTTAAAATTCTTAACTTAAGCAGTAGGCTTTTGATAGGCTGTTATTGATAAATGAATGAATGAATGAATTACTATATCTTATCTACTTATCTGCATGAATAAATTACAATGCATGAATAAAACTTATTTCGGCAATTAACGATTGATGTTCAAAGTAAGCACTGATAAGGTTAGGTATATTGGTAGTGTTAGTGAGACACGTAAGGCAAAAACCAAGTCAATACCATGTATCAATTGTTGTAAGAACACACAGTCACGTATATAATAGTTCCAGATGCATATGTGTGCGTCAGATCTACCACAAAAATATTTAACTAAAATAACCTGAATGAGCGTTTTATCAAAGATGATTTTAATTATGTCACGACCTAGTCTGTTGCCAAGTTAGATAAATACTCAAGACAAACGACTGCAGTGCCTCATTTGAATAAGGCGTGGAATAATTATGGATTATTTAATGAATTACAAATAATCTTGCGGCTAAAATTGTATTATTCCGATACACATAATAAAACGCTTCCAATAAATCAGATAAGGTTATAAAAATATGCATGAAATTATTATGTTCTATGTGATGACGAATCTTTACCGAAATATAAAAAATCTAAGCCGTTTCAATTTCATCTGTACCCTGTAGCCTTCTCTGAATGAGGCTGGCTGCAGGTGGCCATAGATAGAAGTAGCGACTAACCTTTAGGTAGACTGTAACTATTTTTTTAATATATGAGAGGGGGCAAACGAGCTCACCTGATGGTAAGTAACAACCGTCGCCCATGAATAAATGTAACACCAGGGGAATTGCAGATGTGTTGCCGGCCTTTTAAAAAAGAGTAGACCCTTTTCTTGAAGGTCCCTAAGGAGGTCCCTATCGGTCCGGAAAGATTGCTGGTGGTATTTGAAGTTTGTTTGCCAATACCGTTTAAAAAATACATTGAACATAACAAAAATTATGTTATTAGCTTTATTACATGAACTTTTGAAGTTATTATGGCTGCAGTTAAAATTCAAATTTTTGCCTCATAATTTTAATTTGTTACTAGTATTTCTTATTATTGTGTAAGTTATTATTTGACAAATAAATAATTTCAAATCTTAAAAAAATATACTAAAATAAATATCTTATCAAAAGTGATTTTTAAACGAACTCATTTTGTTTCGTAAACTTTATAATTGTTTTTAATTTTTTATCGTTTAGATATACCATTATAAATTCTCTTTAGATAAATAGAGATAACGTTACTTAATATAAATAATTTTATATCAAATGCATTATTCGTAGCAACGCACAATATGTTCATTTAAAATGTATCTGAATCATAGTTTTACGTTATTTGTGAGCCAGCTTTCAGAACAGCTCTTTAAAGATAACATTTCCTGGTCGTGATTTTGATTGTTGGAAAATTGATCGCGTTATAGCAATAATTATTTTGTAATTTACCAAGATTGTTAATTTATCGGTAAATTTTGAAATAAATGTTTAAGTCTTGGCATTTACATGGTAATTCGTTTAATTTTGTTTTGAGATTTATAAAAATAATTAAAAACAGTTTTTATTGTTTCGTTTAAAATAAAAATGATTGTTAACTATATATGCAATAATTTAAATTATTATTATACAAATAAATAAAATTGGAGTGTCTTTTTGTAATGTCAAAATAACAGCTTTTCACTAAATGCGTATGAAATAATATACGGTAATTATAACAAAAACACAATTTTTAAAAATTTTGTCTATCTGTCTGTTTGTTCCGGCTAATCTTCGAAACGGCTGTATTGATTTTGATGGGACTTTCACTGGCAGACAGCTAATGTTATAAGGAGTAACTTAGCTTATTTTTTATAGAATAGGATGACAAACGAGCACATAGTCCGCCTGATGGTAAGTGGTTGCTGCGACCCATAGACATCTACATCTATCCTCAATAAAGAATCAAAATGCAGATGCATTGTCACCCGTGAGGACTGAGATGGAATGCCTCTTTTCCAGTAAAAAAGGTCTCCCGTTGTCTACACTCACCATACGAGACAGCCGTGTTAAGCTGCTATTTTACGCTGGTATTCTGTGAGAGCGTGGTTCTTCCCCAGTCATACCGACCCATTCGTGCTACAACTATACTACCAGTATAGCTGCAACATGGCTCTACCACTTAAAATATTAGTATATTAGAAAAAATAATATTTAAGAAAAAGAATTAGGGTTCCGCGCAAAAAAATTAACAAAATTAAAAAAACAGCTAGTTTAAAATAAAAGTGATTGTTAACTCTATGCAATAATTTAAATATAATATCAATAGCGTTACTTACTTCGATCTAACCATCGAATTGCGGATCCATGCAATTGTGGTGAGGCTAGAAGCTCCTTCAAGAATTGCCATAGATGAATATGCGTGCTGCCAGACTTCGTCTTGCCTCCTGCAGACACTGCACTCGCGGCTGCAGTTTCTGAATCTTCGTCTATGCAGTGAAAAAAATAAAAAATACATTTATTAGGGCAGAAGTAAAGTCACTATTTATACGTCCCACTGCTGGGTGCAGGGCTTCTCTTCTTTTTGAAAGAGTTCAGTAGCAATGTTTCACAAGTTTTTCTTATATGTTATTCCTTAGGCATGCGGGTTTCCTCACGATATCTTCACTCACCGCAGAGATAGCTTTACGGATCATTTAAACATTTTTTCTTACGTTTATTCCTACAATTTACATTTATTCTTCCTCTAAAGGAGTAGTATACTATTTTACTCAATATTTTTTTAATATAAAATTGAAGTGGCAAGCGAATCACAAGTTCAGCTGTTGGTAAGTGGTCACTGCAGCCCATAGGCTCTTGCAGCCAACTTAAAATTAAAAACATGGGTGAGTGTCGTGGAACACTCGGTTGGAACGAACTTCCTTTCGTAGTATATTATTATTGATAAACGTATTATATCAATGATTTGTAATTACGAATAAATGAATTATTAGCGTCTATTAAAATGAAGCGTCATTTAAAATAATATTTCTGTCGTGGCAAGATAAGAATAAGTGTGAGGGAGATGGATATTATTCCATCTCGCTCGCATTATAGAAATGGGGTCGTGACGGAAAAATCAAATCTTTTTCTTAGCTAGCTCCCATCCATCAAATTCGTACCATGCGATAAGGAACTTCGTTCCAAAAAGGTCTTGGTTCCAACAACATGCAGGAGTGTACTAGCTGGATTAGGAATGTGGTCTCTCTTACATAGCACAAACAAAAATATCTATAAAAATCAGCGTGAAAGAACATATAGCTGACTTGAAGCACCGACGTTCCGGGAAGTCTGCAGTGTGTGAACATGTTCAAGATCGTCCCCGCCATTACATGAGATTTGATAGACCACAAATCCTCGCAAAAGAACACTGCTTCCTACTAAGGATGATTCGCGAGGCTATTGAAATAAAAAAAAAAACATCCTAATTTCAATAGAGATGGATGGGTGCTGCCAAATCTTAATCATAATATCTGCTTAAATCCAAACCTAAGTATACCATTGCAAGACTTCAAGATACTGTAAGCTCATTCTGCGTAGATCGTACCAAAAATTAATATTCAAAAACTGAAGGTAGCCGGGCTAACTATGAAATCTGGACGTCAAACACCTCAGTCACCCCCGTGACCATGGGTCATGTAAAGCACCCGAAACGTCGGGAATTAAAAAGTTAAATTAAACGCGATAAAATCCGTAAAAATTTGTTTCATTAATGTGTAGTCTTCGCGTAAATATAAGAAATCATTATTTATTGTAATATAACTTTGAATTAGAGACATAGATAAAGTACGTTTTTCATACTGTCTGCTAAGCGTGACAACTATGGCAAATATCCACACTATGAGTCAATTTATAGGGGAGGCCTATGATCAACAGTGGACTTGATCAGCAGTATGTGAACAAACATAAATGGTAATAATTTTCGTTTGTTACCTTTAATTCTGTACAAAAAATATTAAATGGTTTTAAAAGATGATAAATATTATATCATTTTATTAAATTAGTCAAATTTATCATACATTTATCAAGATGACTTAATAATATCTTTCAGTTTTGAATTCAGACCTTAAAAAATATTGGTGAAAAAAGGTTCTTTGTTTGCTCCATACGTTCGTTTACTGCATGTGTGCGATTTTTCTAGAAAATACAATACCGATTTATATGATTCTTGTACTGGGGTGATCTATATGTTTATGGGAAGGTTCTTGTATATAAAGTTTTAAGAAATTCAACTGTTTACACTTTTATGAAGAATTTAATGACAAGATAAATTAACATTAAAGTCAATGAACTCTCGTCAACGATTTCTAGCACAACCGATGATGTTTATGGATGTGCGGATAGTATCATTGATTTCTTTTAAACAGAGTGCGACAAATCTATCTTGATCAACACACAAGCGACCTTGCGAGTCTGCTGGTACAAGTTTCCAGTATCTCGGTCGCCGGGAAACGATGCAAAAACTAAACTTATATTGGGTTCAAGCTACTGTCGTGAATGGAACTACAGATCGTCTATAGGACAGGGGTTTGATAAATGGAGTAACTGTAAAAGTGATTGGCATTTTACAAGTACAAGTCAATGTACAGTAGATTACTTTTAGCCGACTTCTAAAAAGAAGGATTTGTTGATTCGACTGTGTCCTTTTTTTAAGTTCCGCAATCTTTGCCGATTTTGAAGCAATTTAACAGGTTCCCTGTAGTCGGAACAAACACAAGAGCAACAATAGTTAAACAATTGAAATGAACATCTAAAACTCATGGGACATGGGTTTGGGTTAATAATACTTTGTTTATACGAGTATCTGCTATACCTGAAGGGTACCAAAATTTAAAGTTAAACTAAAATCAATATAAGGGATGAGGTTTTTAATGTAACTGTTTAGATGATATCCTAGTTATTACATTGAGACTGTAATATTTCTTAGTGTACAGGTTAAGAAATTAATATATTTATATGCAACTTATTTAATAATATTTAGTTCTTTAAAGGCAGTATTTAAAATATTTACTTTTGTCAGTCGTGATCTTTACTTTACGAATTTTCCACTTTATCAACTTATTACATATTTGAATAAGTGCTTTATTCAATTATATTATTGAATAGCCAATATATTGTATAATTATGCAATAATTTATGCCAACTTAAGCACACATGCACATACGCACGCACGCGTGCGCGCACCAAGTGCCACAGCATTCACTTACCAACAGGTGTACTGTATGCTCGTTTGCCACCCTTATTCTATGTAAAAAGGAATTGATTTTTTTATAATTTAAAATTAGGTATAACGTTATTTTAGGTTCAATGTCATGACACGCATTTTATTATCACATTAGGTACTGAAAATTCAAGCAATCACACTGAACGTAAGTTTCAGAGAATTGTGTTTTGTAACAGAATCATCGAAGAGCAATATTCGTTGGTCGGATCTGCACTAAGCATTAACATACCCATATCCAGCGTTGAGGATGGGCAACGTCTCAAGAAATGGTTGTCAGCAAAGGATTTTCAATAGATAAAAGCATACGACGAAAAGTAGACCTTAAATTGTGTTTATTTTTATTTTATTTTTATTTAAAAAACTACTAGTAATGCTATTAAGCATTACTAATATTCCCTTTAACTCTACTATTACTTCTGGTAAGCTTAAAATGCTTGTGTTAGAAGTGGTTCACGACACTAGTCAAATGGCGGATTCGAACCCACGACCTTTCAAGTTCGTGGTCCGCGCCCTGCCATTAGGCTACTGACGCGTTTATATGTTTTGTCTCTGGTATTAATCGATTATACCAACATAATGAACGTTCATGCATTATAATGACCGGTTTTCTTTATATTTAATTGAGTGATTTAGTAGAGTATATTAGTAAAAACGTGTAAAGGGTAGCTATTAGTGATTAATACTAAACGCTTTAGTATTATTCTGCGTACATTGTTTGTCTTACTTTTTAAATCACAGTCGTTTTTTTGTTCAGAGTGACACTAAATCACTTGCATTCAAGTGCTACTAATGTTATCTCCTAAAAAACTAGGATAAACTAGTCGTTGTCATCAAAACTTAATCCAAGTTCTTCTATATAATATATTAAAAATTAAACTAGTTTACTTTTAACAGTGCTGCTTTTGTAAAATTATTTTTACTGCTTTGCGCATTCTATAAAGAATCTCACTTGTCAAGTTCTATCTCGTTACCCTCTAGTTACATGTCAGTATAAATCTCTCCATGGCATACGCAATACGCGAGGAATGCCAGCAACTCTGAGCGATAATTGCCGATAGCCGTTTCCTGTGCTACTATTCAACACTTTTTTAAACCTGACAGTGTTGGATCTAAACATGGAGAGGATTTCTGTTCCTTTAGAGTACAATTGCGTTTTTCACTTATACAGGGTTAATTTTCAAAGAGTAGCCAAATTTTAAACTTATGTTCAAATATACTTTTATTTGAAATTATCTCAAATTGAATGTGATTTATGGGCAACAACGTTTTTGCCTACCGATCGACCCTTACGAATGTGTGCGTGTGCAGTAAAATCAGTTAAAATAATGCATTATATATTATATTATACATTTATATTTATATTATTGCATTATAAATTTCTATTATTTAAAAGATATAAAGAACAGAATGTATGAGATTTTATTCATTAATTTTTCTTTACCATTCAAGTTTCAGAATAAGTAATATAGGCAATATTACTTATTCTGAACTTTCTACGTGAATTTGGGCGGTTATTGCAAAATACCCTGTATTTTAGATCCTTAATTTTATTTCATTAGACATCTGTGTTACTGTAGTATTATCTTAAATCGAAGCTAGATGAAGAGTAATTTAAGTCTAGTATTTTATTAAATATATATAAGGTAAAGACATGTGGAGCAATTAGACCATGGCACTGCTCCGGTAGAAATATATAACGATGTTTTCATTCACTGCTGAGCACATTGTACATATTGTAATTATCAACTTCATTGGTGCCAGCGAGGATCGAACCTGGGTTGCTCTGGTATACTGAAATTTGCAGTTCTATATAGTTATAATATTGATAGAATTAATATTTATTAGCACTTGCTTCTCTTCAATAGTTCGGATTAGTACCGAGTAGAACGGTTGACCCCATTTGGGTTGCATTTACAATTCCCTCATAAAGCAGGCTTACAATTCTAACCTGTACAACACTCGGGCATACATCATTAGCTTGTTTGTCTCTAACGTCGTCTGTATGTGGGCCCGTAGCGTCGGTTAACGGTTGATCACAAAATGCATGAGACTGATGCATCGATGTGCCACATTGCTCGGCCGCGGTGCAGACCGTTGGTCGACAAGTTTTTGTGATTTTCATTTTATTAATAAGGCAACTTTTATCTTAAGCTATAGATTAAATTTAGATTACTGTAACAATGTTTTTATTTGCGTTCTTCAATTATAACGTATCGTCTCATATAAAAATAAATCGTTTTAATTTGGACAGTACAAAGATGATTGTACTAGTTGCAAATCTATAGAACTAAATGAAATTGAAATGTCTGTCTGTAATATCGAAATAACAATCTTGTATCGAGCTCATGGGTTTATTTGAATGTCATTAAGTCATGAATAGCAATTTGTAAAATTTTTGTTTGTCGGTATGTCTGTCCGGGTTAATATTCGGAACTGAACCGAATGTGATGAAACTTCACGAACAACAACTTAACAGGAGTGATCTAGGCAATTTTTCATCTGAGTTCTTTTTTATAAAATAAAAAAAAATTTTGACCATTTAAAAATCTAAATGACGGCATATTTTTAGATTATTTCGAACTAGCGATCTGCCCTGGCAAAGCCGGATAACTATTTTTATGGTTAGTTATTTTTATTCAATATGTAAATTAATATCTCAGAATTGATACGAGTAAACTTTTTCTATTTTTGCAGTATAAGCTAAACCATATCAATAATTTAACTATTAAGTTCGTAGCATTAATAATTTGATATATATTGATAAAATTAAAAAATTAAATTAATAAGTTAAACTTACTGGTGCTATAAACTAATGTGTTCTTATCTCAAGGATGTAGTTTAAAGTGGTAAAGTCAAAAACAACTTAATATTATGCGATAGATCATCTAAACGTTGTTGTTCCTAAAGATATTATGAAATACGTGGTGCAATAATTATAATTAAAAATAAATTTAAAAGTTGGAAATAACATATTTTTTTGTGAATATATTGCAGAAATTCACCAATTCAATTCTATTTTTGAATTTTTAAAAACAAAAACGAGTATTCTATCTTCCTTCTTTTATGGCGGTTACGCTGAATTGACTAATAACATCTTAAAAGTGACTCTAAATGAAAAAGTAAAATGCACGGAAATCTAAATAATGCCATTGTTATTCAACTACGTAAGGTGGGTATAATCCCTAATACATACGAGTTTACGCCATGCCTAAGTTGTTTTGATTTACAACCTTTTCGGACGCATGACGCCTGTAGCGGCCATCGTCCATAAATTATACATTTATTAATATCTTCTTCAACCGCGTCCCAATCTTTCCGTGCCATATTTTCTTTCTCGATTGTTATGGAACATATTTTATGACTGTAAACTGCTGACTGTAATTTTTATATCCCACAGGGCCGCACTTTTGAGGCCCGTTTTGTTTTCGTCACTAGTCTGCTTATTTTACTTATTACTTAATTATATACTTTATAATGATGACTTCAACTTCAAGGATATCTATCCTACGACCAGTTCGATCCCAATCTAACTATAAAATGGAGTGGGAAGTTATATGATAATTTTTTGCATGGTAAATATAGCCAAATATTTCAACAAATGCATGCGTACTGGCACATTTTTTTCGAAGAGGCCATCAGTACAAAAAAGTAAAAGCAGACTACAATGATTGAAAAAAAAATTATTTCACATTCTGAGGTCGGTGGTAAGACATAGATATAAAGCTCCGACTTCAGAATGTGAAATTATTTTACTCTTTTGTTTTCTTTGAAGTCGGTTTTTACTTTTTTTAAACTTCCTTTTTTACACTGTGAGTGGCATACGAAATATCACAATTTGAATGTCGTCTAAATAGTTATATTAAAAATTTCATCCCCTGTTTTGCCACCTTTAGGAGTGAAATTATTCTTCCTACATATGGGATCACCTCTGAACCATAACCGAAAGTATCCCTAATATTCATACAAAAAACATACACTCAAATTGAGAACCTTCCTTCCTTTTTAAAGCCGGCTAAAAAGGTTAAAGATTCAGAAGAAGAACAACCTGAAAAAAAAATGGTACTCACCATCACTCATGTCATCAGCTGAAGGTAAAACAGCTGGCGTAGGCTTGGGTGAAGCCTGCTCGTGCTCTGGCCAAGGAGTAGGTCTCCAGCCTTCGTGTCTTGCCGCCTTCCAAATCTCCAATTGAGCATACAGTGTGCTTCCAGCCTATGACAATAATTACGTTATGTAAAAAAATGTTTTTTTTTTTGTAAAAAAATTAAGCATAAATGCTGTAAAATACTCTCTACTGCCCACTGGATGCCCATACCCTTTCTCCAAATCCCCCCCCCCCCTCACTGTCTTCATGTACCGGGTTTATTATGAAAAAAAACATATCTTAATTAAATTGAAGGTTTCTACATTTCGTTTCCATTGCTAGAAATACTGGGAATGCTTTGCTTTGCTTAATTATATCATTAAAAAAAGATAGATAACGTTGCAATATTACTACTGGAGTGAATAAGAGTGCGGAAGCTTTACAAGCAGCACACAAGCGCGGGGATTACTTACAATAGCAATCAGATAAGAACGCGATTTTTAGTATCCTTAGTAACCTGCCGACGCAAGCATCGACGTTGCACTCTGATAATACTCCGCTGCGGATATACATTAATTTCGCCGCAACTACATGGTATCCAATATTTGTGCGAAAATAAAATATTTATTCGATAAACATTAAATAAAATAAAGATAAATATGTTTGCAAATGTACTGTGAATGTGTAACACTATGTCTAAGCATACTCCCGATTTTATTGTTTAAGCATTGAATATTTTTCGCTTTGTTCATTTCGAGTTTCGATCAGTGAGGGTCTCTACAATTACGCTATCACTTGCGCAGCATGCGGCGGCGTATATCCTGTGCCCACTGGACAAAATTTGTAGATCTGAATTGAAATATTATCTCATGGTTCTCTGTCCAGGGTTTTCTTGATATACTCAGAAAAAATATTTGTAATTAAGCATTTATTACTTTAATACTTAGATTTGTATGCAAACAACTGCTGTGAGCTTGTGTTGCGAGACTTTCATCGCTTGGTGAAAGTCGCAAAGCAGCGGCGCGTGCGATGACAACGATTGCTTGTTCATTTGACCGATTAGGCCAGTATTACATTGCTTTGACGACGGAAAAATAAACTAATAAGACAAAATTGCTTCGAGTTATCTGCAAAATTAGTTTTTAACTTTTTTTACTTTTTACTGTATCTACTAGGTCCTTTATATTTTTCTTGAGTTGTATTTTTAGAAATTAATACCAAATTATTTGTCTTCGTTAGCCACTTAAATGAATCATTTTTGAATGAAATAAAACATAAGAATTTCATAAAACTGTTGTGGCAATAGCACGCTCCCTAAATTTCATAGAATGCGAGTAAACCGAACCAAATAATTATTGATGTCAGTAAATGAGTTTAAAAATTGATTTTGACTTTTGAAAACGTAGGCGTAAACAAACAAATTAAATCAGAATAATTTAAATATGTACATATTTCATTTCATAATTATGTTAAACTTATCGTAATGGATTTCCTTTGCGAACCAAACGATGTTGTTACATAATGTTACTTACATACAGTACTTTAACTATTATGCCGACGAACGGTTGCGAAAATGAGGAAACGGTATTGGCAATAGCAGAAAAAGAAAATTATTTCAAATTGAAATTGTTGCCTTATGCCATGGCAGTGTTGATTGCACAGGACACTATGGCCGGTCTACACAGGCAATCATATATGTCAATCTATGGCGACACCGCGAGGAAATGCACCTCCTTTCATCGAATAGTATAGGAGTATGACACGACTAAAGAAACTGGAATTTTGGTATCGGTAAATTCATGTCTTTATCTTGAATTTGCTTGTTCAAAAACACGATTGTAAAATTTTGACTCGATCATAATTATTTTCGAAAACACCTCTAAAAATCACTATAGTTGAAATTACAACGAAATTACTTAATCTATATGCTTGGGAACCGCTCAAATACATTCATAACATCAATATTCGTAATTTGTTTACTCATTATTTTGATTACTTAAATCAATAATTTTCTTTTTAATTTTTTTAAGATTCTAAGGGATTTCTAAGTGGTCTTAGTCGTCGCGGGTGCTACGAAATTTTAGACCTTATGACGGCGTTTTGTAAGTTTTTATAGAAATTATGTACTAACTCGGATCAGTCTGGCGATAGCCCGCTTAAACGGTTTTCGATGTGTCGTCTCAAACTCAAACTCCACAACGCCAAATTTTGTGTAACATAATATGGTCTAGACTCAAATTTTGACAATGTAGTTTGAATTTAAGCTCCACATTGTCCTTGAACAGCTAGCTGAGTGGAAATATCTTCTCGTAATCATCATTATAGCCCTTTACACGTCCACTGCTGAACAAAGGCCTTCAAGGAATACCAAAAAGCACGGTCCTGATCTACCTGCATCCATATACTTCCTGCATATCCAGTTCGTCAGTCCTTCTAGAGAGCGGCGGCACTACCCTTCGCTTACCGGTACGAGGTTGTCACTCGAGTATCTTTCTTTCTCATTGGTTGTTGATTCATTGCCACTTAAGCTTAATAATCCGTAATAATGTTTTATACTGATTAATCTATACATATAAATAAAATTGAATTAACTGTCTGTAATATCTTTTCTTTTATTGGAATTTTTCTTATCTTTTCTTTTAATTCTTATATTGAGCTTGGGGGATTATTTGCACGCTATTAAGAGATGAATAACCATTTTAAAAATAATAATCTTTCTGTCCGAGCAAATCTTCGGAATAGCTGAACCGATTGTATCGAAAATTGACGAACCGATAGAGAGCAATCACAATCATAAGCCTAAACTCTCTTTTCTACCGACTTCAAAAAGGAGCCGGTACTCAATTCGACTGTATTTTTTTTATGTGTGTTACCTCATAACTTCTTACTGGTTGAATCGATTTCGATGATTCTTTTTTTATTTGAAAGCTGGTGCTTCATATGTGGCCCCATAATGATCAATGTTTGTCCAATAGTTTTTGAGTTATTCTTAATAATTTGTATTGAAGTTGGTTGTACAAAATTTAAAATTTTGAATTATTAAACTTGATTTTTGACAAAATGTAATATTGATAAAATTATTAGTTTTTGATTATTATCTCAAATCTAGATAAAACCACATTAATAGATCTTATCCTGACAAGGCCGGGATGGGTTGTTAGTTGTACGAGTATATAAATGTATTAAGATAACACTAGAATTTCAAGACTAGTCAAAGTAACCAAAGTACTGATAATCACTGCTTTTAATTGGTACTCGTATCTAATGAGAAGTAATTTAAATTTGAAATATAAACTTCTTCGCCATCTGACGAGATAAACTGAATTCTCTCATTGTGTTTAGTGTCTGATGAAAGGTTAATTTCATCTAAAGGGAGTTTTGGCGGGAATTCGACCGACGGCGGATGGCTGTTTCTGTATTAATTATATAATGTTTTGTGATATTTCCATATGTGATGCAATATGTTGTATTAAATTTCAGCGTATATAAACTTTTAGTGGAACCAATAAAACGAGTGCTTCCATCGTGCTATAAACCCGAATTTCTTATGTACGTTTTATGACCTTGATATACCATCGTCATCCACTGTCTGCTTGTTTGAGTTGATGTCAAAATTTCCAAAAACTTTCGTAATACGACGCATTAACATATTGTAAAGAATTTTGTTAACAAAATACAAGTTAGACTAGGCTGTTTAGACATAGGTCCCTTTCACTTTGGGCAATTAAAAATATTATCGCCAGAAAAGTTTGCTTCACGACCATGATTTAATTAATAGAATATAATACGTACATAATATATTTACCGTATTACGACTATTGTTAATGTAAGGTACATTTAAGCGATGTTAGTTCTGTTTAAGTTATATATACTTCAGTTGGTATTTCACGATAAATTTTCATGCTAAGGGACTGGTTACAACTGTTTACAAACTATTTTCTTCAATGAGTTTAAGCATGGTTACAGCAAACTAACATTAGCTCTGTGTGAATGACGTCCTTGCACGTTTATTATATAAGGATACTAGCGATCCGGCCCGGCTCTGCACGGTTGTTTTCTGGCTCTCGACAACACCGCCAACTACCGGGTCCAATTATGAGTCTAAACCATTCTCTAATCAACTTAATCACACACAAAATTTCATCAAAATCGGTCCAGCTGTTTAGGATGAGTTCAGTCACATACACACGGACAGAAGAATTAGATAATATATAATATGCATGTATTATACATATAAACGTTTCTATTAAATTGTCCTGTCTACTGATGAAAACTGCATCAAAATTTGTGGCGTAGTTTATAAAATCTAAGCTTACAGAAGCGACTTTGGTTAATACTATGTGTAGAGAAGTTATTTATTTATTTATTTATTTATTTATTTAGAAAACCAACAGCGTATATAGAAAATATTAACATTAATGTAACAAACTTAAAGTATGGCCAATAACAGGTTTCCCTTATATTGTTTGATGGTAGGTGTATTGTTGTTAGAAGAAAAGAAAAAAGAACAATCTAATAGATAAATTATAAGCAAAATTATAAGCAATTCAATGTAATGAAGGTGGTCATAAGTTTACAGATCAGGAGAGATAGTCAGGTAGAATGATATATTACGTTACCTTTATATATATATAAATATATATATATATATATATATATATATATATATATATATATATATAAACATATAAGATATATATATACATACATATATATTATTTACTTATGTATATATACATATTAAATGTTTAAATATATAAACATAATACAAATAATTAATTATAATATATATTAAATAAAATAACTTAAGTACTTATATTTTATATTTATATTAGTAGCCTCAAAAATACATATAGAAGAAATAGATGAGAGAATATATGATTGTATGTGATTTTAACTTCAACTGCTCTATTTCGTAATAGTTTTCTTGATGTAATCTTTAAACGTAAGTTTAGATTTCGCAAAGAGGTCAATGTGTCCAAATTGTTCATTATATGTACGAGCAAGCCGCGAAAGAACAGTGTTTCGACAGTAGTTTGAATGATGCCAGGGAGTCTGTAACAATGTAGTATTGCGGGTACGGAATTTTGGAGTACGAAAGGTGATTCTTGAGACAAGATATGGACAG